GTAATACAGATCAATGGCATGCGAGGTGTTATTGGAGAATCTACTTGTAATTTATCCGTGGAGCGTTTACTGGAGATACTATTGTTTACCTCTTGTTACGTTTTCGCTAAACTATTTTGTTAAAACTAATTTGAAAAGTACTTACCGTATTCTAAAATTGTATCATGTTGATGTCAGATATTCACTAAGTCACACAGTAATTTTCCGCGTAAAAATATGAGGTTATTACAATTTAAAACAATTTTTAACGGTTACGCGGATACTTTTGCACAGTAGTACGGCGATACCATAAAGTGTACGGGTAATATAAGGTGTCAGTGATATGAAAAGGGGTACATCCTAAAGTCTCAGTTCCGGACGTACTTAATATACGACGTACTAAATAAATTTACTACCTTATTTGCTTACTTCCTTTACGTGCCTTGAAATTTCCGGCATAATGTAGACGTATATCTATATATTTTTCAATTACTGCTTTTAGTAATTCGATTTTGTGTCCTTGGCAGCGTTTGTTAGCTTCAAGCAATATACCAGAATCAATAAGTGTTTTTAATATTTAAATGCACATTTTTTCTTTTACACATCCTCCAGTGCGTAAAAATCTTCTTATTATGTATTCAGATTTTTCACAAATTAAAAACATCATGTCGTCGCAGTCGTAGAACAAAGACGGATCTGCAATTTAGCAATTTTACAGGAGAGCCGTCCAAAGATTTTTTATGGAATATCACTCCATATTTTTAAAACTAGTAATTCAATTAACGTGAAATTTGGACAAGTTGTTTTGTATGACGACTTTTTTAATGTGATTTACACTACAAACTCCTAATATGTATAGTTTTCGTAAAAAGCCACATAGGTCGTTGTTCTCTGCAGTATAATGTGACGTATGTAATTAACCGACGTTATTGTATGGAGTTCAAATTTTTGGTTCATGACGGATGATACTTTCCGTCAATGTTCTAGGCGTAGTTACAAAAAAATTATGGGCGGTTTTGAAATATGTAGGTCTAGGAACTGAAATAACAAACAATTTATAATTTTACATATTTTATATCACTTAAGGCACGAGAAATAGGTTTTCAAATCAAATTCTTATAACTACAAAACTAAAAAACTTTTTTAGGAAAAATCTTAAGGAAAATGAATACCCACATATAAAAGTAAACGTATTTTATACGGTACTATTAGTATATATTTAAAAAAAAATGTATTTTCAAAAGTAGAGTACAGTAATTTCAATGAAATAACAGTATATCTTATATAAACTATTGAAATACTTATTATAATAGACGGTATATCCCATTTATAACTTGAATATTGTAACTTCTCATTAAGTGAAATGTATTTCTTTTGAGAATAAAAAAAATATCTTTAACCATATAATAGACGGTAACTAGGAATTCTGTTCGTGGTAACATTTTAAAACAGTCTTAAACTTTTCTTAGAATAATGTAACCTACATAATAATATAAACTAATCAAACTCAAAATTCTTTGATAAGTTTTGTTTTTTAGCAATCGTCATCATCATCTTCAGTACCATCAGCATCTCCTGACGCTTCTACTGTGAGACTGTGTGGCAAGGATCGAAAATAAGGATGGTATTTTTCTGGGATTATTCCACTCTCGCAAAGGCTGATGATATCTTTATATTTATCGTTTGTAATATCAATTGGCCCTGAATAAGCGTTTTTAAGTGTTTCTATTATAATATTTCTTGTCTCCTTGCGAATTATTAACGTCATTGAATCATCTTCTAGGCTATATTTATACTGCATTTTATTAGGTTGACTTTCTTCAATTACTACTTCTCTTATTCTTGTCCACATTAATTTTTCATTTTGTGTATTCTTTGTCCAGTTTCTTTTTTTTTAATAACTCTTTAAAGTTATAAACCTGTTCTCTATTAAGATCTCTTACTTCGTATGGATTCTCAGATTTCGCCCATCTTATTAGAAGCTTCCACTCTTCCGGAGTATAAATGGCTTTATGCTCTCCAGCTCTTTCGATCACCGAGTGCACAGAGTCACCCTCGTTTTGAGTGTGCCCCTTTTCAAGAAAGCGGTGAGTAATAGTAACACCAAACTTTTTGGCCACATGACTGTAGAGTGCAAACATAATACGGTTCTTATTTTGGCCAGCACAGTTGTCTGACCAAAACCTGAAATCCTTTACTCCTTTATCAGAAATATCTTTCATAAAATCATATAGACAACTAGCGACCTCATTAGAGCCTCGTTTCGCCACACTCGTCCCACACATAACAATATCCCTTTTTTGTAGAAACATCAAATATTGTAAAATTGTAGCAAGACAGCTTGCGTTTGTGATAGAGTACACTCATCTGTCCATGTGGGCACGACAAAACCTTTTGAAAGTCGAATGTTGCACATAAAATCATACCGTTTGATAAAACAGCTGCATTTTTGTCAGAATTTTTTAGCTGTCTAACAATAGTCTTATGTGATTGATGTCTTTTGTGTTGTTCTTTCAATTCTTCAGAAGGATTTTCAGTCTGTTTAAAAATATGGCATTGGTCACAAGTATCTTTTTTAGGAATGTGAAATGATAGATTAAATTGACTGTTTACAATATCTCGGTACTGTCGGAGAGTTGTAGCTTTTTTCGAATACTTGTCTAAGTCCGGCCAGTCATTATACATCATGAACATGCGAGCCACACTCAGACTGCCTTCTAAATAAAGCCTTTTTGACCCTTTCCGACAATAGTGCGATTCTATTGGCACGAAAGAGTTGACATGAGCGCATACGGATAACAACATTTCGTTATCAATTACTATTTTATGATTATTGTAACGCCCTCTCATATCTTGTTCGACATCTGAGCTGCCATCATGTTTTTGCCAGGCAGTTCTTGCTGTACGCTCGCTGATACCCAGAGTGTTTAAAAACATGATTTTGCAGACATCAATTTTGCCATAAATAAAATCAGTTTTTCAAATAATATCAGTTTTTTTCGGTAAATAATATTTATATGTAAATACTCTATTGTGTTTTAACTGTCGTGCGAATGTCCTGTTTTTCGGTTGTTTTTTTGTATAGTTAGCTACATACAACCATTGCTTTTCTTTGCTACCAAGTTCCCAAAACCTGGTAAAAATCTCAAGACGCTCTTCATTTGAATTTTTTTTAGTACATTGAAATCTGCATATGCATGGAGAACCCATTATTTTAGCATCAACTATATGCCCTCTTTTTGAAACATACGTTTGCCTTGGTTTTTTAGGTTTTTCGCTTTATTTCTCCCCAATCATCATATTTTCGAGTGCGCTTTTCCCTCTGTTTTTTAAAAACGTTGAACACGATGGAGATGGTTGGTTAGAGTTTGTACCAATAGTAGATACTGAAGGGCAGGCAAAAGCATCAGTTTCATTTTGGCAACAAAACGGATCATCACATTTTGCATGTCTATTTACTGGGGATGCTACTGGAGTATTGGGTAAAGACACTTGAGAAGAACCGTCGATATTTTTAGTTAATGGGGATGGTATAGCATTAAAAATGGGAGTCAACGGCGTTGGAGATCTAATGTTACTATGTACCGTCAACTAAGGCATCTTTACCATAATTTTGAAGGAAAAAGTTAATAAATGGAAAAATAAAACACTTATGATTAAGCTATTATTTTTAATCGATGAATATAGTACTTCTCCGTTGCTTTATAAATGCACTGTTTCCCATGGCTGCAAAACCACTAAAGTAGCACCAAAAACATGACACAGGTAAAGAAGCCACAAAAATGGCTACTTTACCTATACAGTATTTCTCGATAAAATGAAGCCTTTATAACTGAAATTGGTAAAGATACCCTTTCGCTTTACTTTCTCTGTTTAGACATATGGGTATTTTAATTAAAAAAGCTATATACGGGCAATAAATGCTGGTAGGTAAAGATGGCATGGACTCCATTGAAATTCTCATACAAATGTAATTAATTATCAGGGCTGCCACCAGTTTAAAAATGATGTTAAAATGTACGCTATAAAACATTGATTAAATGCAAGTCAGACACTCGCATGAAGAGTTATATAATGTATATCAGGCACTAGTTGTTTCACATTTATCATACTTATACTACCATAGTTTCAACTAAATTGTATTGATAATTATACTTAATGAAACTTATTATTCCAATTTATATTTAAATTTGACATCAAAATATAAAATTCCACGCCGGTTTTTATAGGGATTTGGTAAAATTTGTACTATATCATTTTCAAATACAATACTTGTATCGGGTACTGTGGGCCAGTAAAACCCGCCATTTTTATATCTCATGAATTTCGCGAAAACACCATCACGCTCGGATATTTTCGTAATCAGGCCACAGTAATACTTATTTGTATTTTTGGTACTTTCAAACTTTACTAAGATGTATTGTCCAATATATAAACTTTTGGCTATAAATGCCTTCTCATTTTGTTCATTAATTGTATCTTTTTCTGACATAGTCTCTTCTAGTCTTCGTCGTTTTATCTTCAGTCCTTTTTTATCATCTTTTTCTATTATCAGGCTCTTTATCTGTTGTTTTCTTTCATGCTTCTCTGTTTTATGCTCTTTTGTTCCTAAATCTTTTATTTGTTCCACTGTTTCCTGGTCTTTCCATAAGTCTCTCTCCATTTTATATTCATTTACCATCTTTTGTTTTATCTCCTGTCCCTTCCTTTCATAGCTTTCTGATCTCAAGCTTTCCGTCTCATGTCCTTTTGTTTCCAATTCATTCATGTGTTCCTCTTTTCCCTGTTCTTTACATGCGTCTCTCTCCATTTCATATTCATGTACCATCTGTTTTTCCATCTCCTGTCCTTTCCTTTCATCGCTTTCTATTCTTAAGCTTTCTTTCTCATGTCCATTTGTTTCCAATTCCTTCGTTTGTTCCTCTATGTTCCGTACTTCCCATTCGACTTTATCCATGTCATATAAATTTACCATCTCTTTTACTTGCCTTTTATCACTTTCTATTCTCAAGTTTTTTATCTCATATCCTTTTTTTTTCCAATTCCTTAATTTGATCCTCTATTTCCTGTTTTAACCATTCTTCTTTCCCCTTGTCATATTCTGTTCTCAAGCTTTCTGTTTCATGCCCTTTCGTTTCCAATTCGGTCATTTGTTCATCTTTTTCCTTTTCCTCCATTTTCTGATCTTCTGTCAGTTGTCTCAATAAGTAGTCCTGCATGTCTTCAATTGAATCGTAGTCCGAAGAATCTGCATACTGCACAGAGCAGTCAGAGTCTGAATCCGAAGAATTATCGTGGAGTTTTTTGGTTCTTATACCCTACCTTTTTACATCTTTTTTCAAAATTGTCTTTAGAACAGATGGCCAAGCGTTTTGTAAATTTCTTTTTATCGTAATACCAGATGGTCCAGCTTTAGCTTCTTTTATTTTTTTCGTTGGTGTTTTTTTATTCTTGTCTGTTTTTGGCGGTATTGTAATGTCTGAGAGAATAGTTATTTTTGACCTCTTTTTCTGGTATGTCGTTTTGCACTACTTCTTCACCACTGTTTGCAATAAAATTTCTTTCGCTTGTTATTTCACTAGTTTTACTCTTTGTGTTTTTCTTGGTTACGTTTTTATTTATGTCCCAGCTTGTGACAGATTTTCCAGCTGCGACATTCATATTTTATTTGTATTTCGCCTTATTGGGTTTGGATTCCGATTCTCTTTTAGATAGTCAAGTAAAGATTTATCTACGTCATAAGTGATCTCTTCACAGTATTCCGGAATTTTTGAATATACTTTCTGTGGATTATATGGAAATATGCCCGTTGCTCTAAATCCACTGATCAAGTTATCGGCTTTATTTAAGTTCACTTCTTCAATTAATTGTTTTAAAAGTATAGGAAAGTGGATTATATTGAGAGACGTCTGCTTTGGGTTTTCTATCTTATTTTCCTCCACGTTCGTTTAAGTGGAGCGAAAAATGCAACATCCAGAGGCTGGGTTAAATGCGTTGAATTTGGTGGTAGTAACACGAACCTAATATTGTGACGCTCGCAAAGTTCTACCACATCTACGTTAATATGGCTTGAAAGGTTGTCTCCTATAACCAGCTTCGGTCCTTCCAGACGTTGAGCCCATGGTATTACTATTGTAGTGAACCAATCCATGAACATGCCAGAATCGAACCAGCCACTTTTAGTTCGATTATAACGCGCCCCTTCTGGACCTCCATCACACCATTGTGTCCACATATTTTCAGATTTATAGACGACGTACGGAGCTAAAAGATCACCACTGGCTGTTCCGGAAAACATTATAGAAATACAACCTTTTGAGTAGTTTACTGTTCTTTCCGGATACTTGATTCCCCGGCGAAAAATGCATTTGACTGCCCCCGGGTCATCGCTGACATTTGTTTCGTCGTAATTGAGTATATGGGTTGCCGGCAAATCTTCAACACAGCTCTTTAAATTTTCAAAGTAGATCTTAAAATCTTGAAGGGATTTTTCGGCTCTTGCTTTTTTAATGTTTTGTGTAGATCGCACGGTAAGCTTATCGTGGTGTCTTATCAAAAAGTTTTTCACCCACCAATCACCTGGAGGATTGTCATTAAAAATGTACGCTTTATTATTTTTTTTAAGGTAATCAAATACAATCATACGGAAATCCAACTGTGTCAATGGACATCCAAATTCAGATGCAACAATAAGCACTTTTACAAATTGGAGCTCTTCTTCCTCTGTAAATCGGTACCGTGGACCAGGTTTGTTAGTGTGTAAGTTTTTTGCCCTTTTTTCTATGGTACGACGTGGTATTCCAAATTGTTTTTCTGCGTCATAAGATGACACATTTTTATTACGGACCATTTCAACTGCAAGAGTGAGCATTTCTTCAGAATAGTTTTTGTAGGCCCTTGCTCCTATTTTCCTTCGGTTCCGTTTTTTAGGTTTAGGGCAAGTCATATTTTAATTTATCTGAAATAAAGTAAACTCGGTAAGTACCAACACCAAAAGCATTTTTTTTATGTCACAAGGCAAGCAGTAGCGGCGGTTATTTGGTGGCTCCAGGTCTTCAACTATATCCATGCAACAAATTACGTCGACCCGATTACGTCGAATTTTTTCGATTGAATGCATCGGATTGTTGCATCGATGTAATATCGATGTATCAAAAAATACATCGATGTTTTCTATACATCGATTGTTTTCTATAAGTTAAATATGTATGTGGTTTAGAAATAAAAAGCAAGCATCTATTAAAATAACTATTACATTTATTTTTAATATATATCCCAATAATTTTTATCTATACTTTGTAAAAACAAAATTTTACCCAATCTTTTAGCCTTTAATCTGTTCCTTTGTTGAGTCATTACCTGCGCCGCTTGCGAAAACAGTCTCTCTGATGGCACTGATGTGCCCACCATTGTTAGATATTTAAAGGCAATTCTATGCAATATTGGAAACTGTATTTTGTAATCTTTCCAAATTTCTAGAGGATTGTCGTTAAGTCTTCCAACATGACTTGTCAGATAAACTGAAAGTTCATCCGACAAGCTATCTTCAGATTTATTACTCTTCCAATTGCGATGTTTGTAATGATCATTCCATAATGAAAATGTCTCTTCACTTTTATCAGACTTATCCAAGTCTGACTCGATTTCTTCAATTTGACGCAAATAAATCTTCATTAAATTTTTGATTTTCGATACAGCATTGCTACTGTTGCATCGTTAAAGTGATTTTTTTTAAAACGTGGGTCTAAAATGTTTGCTATAGCAAGAGGAGTTACATGTTCAATGGAACCCATTCTTTTCGTAATTTCTTGCAGAGCCAGTTTTTGCACTTCTCGTGCCACAGGTTCTCCTGCGATACCTGCTGAAGTAATTTTGGAAAATATGCAGCGGACTAAAGGTATAATTTTGCTGGTTGTGCAATATTTATCTGCAGAAATTTCTTTTGTGGCTACCTCCAAAGGCCGCAATATCAGGAGGACGGATGAGGCAATGGTTATTTCTGAACTGCTGAGCATTGGGGGTGCGGTGGCGTGTCGAAAAAGAATATCATTTATGACACTCCGCAGTTCTAAAAATCTTTGTACCATGTAGTAAGTACTATTCCAGCTCGTCGGTACGCTTTGTATAAGTTTAGTCTCAGTAGAAGTAGCTTTGCGCAATTCGTCACTAGCAACGCAACTTTGTTTGAACCAAGTCACAATTGATTTAATTTTAGTAACAATTTTTTGCCACTCAGTACATGCCATTGTGCCCTCAGCCACCAAATTTAACGTATGAGCCAAACATGGAATGTGTTTCTTCTTACCAAACGTCAATTCTACAGCTTTCACGATATTGGCAGCATTATCGGTTACAACAGCCGTCACATTATCTTTTTTAATACCCCATTCTGCACAAGTTTTTTTTAAAAGCATTTCAGAAATATATTGTGACTTATGTCTTTCATCGAGTTCGTACACGCCGAGAGTAACTGAAGTGAGTTCAATTTCTATTCCAAAATGAACAGTTACGCCTATAAAACTTTTCATATTTAATGTATCAGACCAAATATCTGTCGTCAAGGTTAAGTCTTCTATCGAAGACAATTTCTTTTTAAGTTTCTGAAACAATCTCATATTTATTTACCAACCATCGTCTTAGACTTGTTCTACTTGGTATTTTATATTGAGGAGCAACTGCTTTCATAAGATTTTTGAAACCTTCATTCTCGACTGTTAAGAAAGGCTGGTGATCTTTACAAATCATATATAACAAACAATTGTTAAGTTTTCTTGTTTTCATGCCGGATTCTGAATAAGAGGAGATTGCTTGAAAACTGGTCTTGTTAGATTTTTGACGTTTTATAGGGATTACTTCCGAGTCAGAATCTAAAGCTTTATCCAACGGTTTTGACGTACTTTGAGAACTACTCGTCGAAGGAATAACGGTTTCGGAATCAGATTGAACTGATTTAAGTTCATCAACAATACCAATGCAAGGTGTCTCATTGGAACTTGAAACAGCTGGCTCTAGAACTGATTGCGTGTTACTTTCTCCGATGTAGTCCTTTGAAACGGAACAATTTCAATGTAAGCAGCCTTGTGGACATTACGAATATGCCCAAATAAGTTTGTTGTATTTCCAGTACACTTGATAACTTTTTGACATAACTTACATTTAGATTTATTGTCATTAATGCTGTCGTAAAACTGCCAGACTAAACTTTTCTTTTTAGGCGCCATTATATTCTGAAATAGATAAAAAAGGAATGTATTTTCAATTAAAAAAAATATCGATAACATGGAATCACTTTTATACGTGGTAGAGCCATGCTGCAGCTATATTAGTAGTATAGTTGTAGCACGAATGGGTCGGCTCGACCGGGGTAGGACCACGCTTTCACAGAATACCAGCGTAAAATAGCAGCTTAATACAGACTTTTTGATATTAATATTACATATAACGTGTTGTTCAGTTTAACACTTCGATTTATAAATATTATTGCTAACATGACACAGAAAATTGTAAAATGAATTCTGAATCAAGCTAAGTAGGTAATTAATTAATTCAAATTTAAAAAAATATGATATTTGAATCCAGAGACTGCAACTAACTGTAAGAGAGTGACGGCGGGTCAATTCAGTCGGCCATTTGCATTTATATTTTTTATGGGTTGCTTGCACTGACCTCTATAATATTGGCTGCCTTTTCAACCAGTGATACCACTTTTTGACGAAACACCTTGCGAATGCTAAATAATGTAATTGAAAAGACAAAAAAATAGTTATTAACCGTAGAGAGAGAGAGAGACAGAGAGAGAGGGGGGTAGGTTTGATTGTCTTTTCGATGCATCGAAAAAAAAACATCGACGTATACTCGAGCATCGTTACTATACATCGAGTATTTTTAAAACATCGATGTATATCGTCTACTCCTAGTCAGATCCCTGTTTAAAATATGGTTTCAAATTGTCAATGTCATCAATTACATCCTAACAACTTCATAGTAAGAATGTAGCTTTACAACCATAGAAAGTAAGCGATACAACTTTCACACCTATGGTATGACATTGATGTCCTAAATATTACTAAAACCATTTATTTCTATTGGTAGCGCTAGTGTGCCGTCTGACATAAATATAAGTATTTATGTCTTTCATTTATTTATTTTTTAAGGTATTAAAGAAAATAATTTTTCAATCTTTATCATTATTTTACTTTTTTTTTATAGGATCGGGTGACAAACGAGCACACAGTCCACCTGATGGTAAGTGGTTACTGTGACCCATAGACATCTACATCTCCTCAATAAAGACTCAAGATGCAGATGCGTTGTCACCCGTGAGGACTAAGATGGAATGCCTCTTTGCCAGTAAAAAGGGTCTCCGGTTCTCTACACTCACCATACGAAACACAGCAGTGTTGAGCTGCTATTTTACGCCGGTTTTCTGTGAGAGCATGGTCCTTCCCCTTTCGAGCCGGCCCATTCGTGCTACAACCATATATAGCTGCAGCATGGCTCTACCACGTAAAAAACTTACTTACTTTAATGCTATTTGGTCACAATCAATCAATACATGTAAAAAATAGTATCCATACCACATTTGTGCACAGACAGGCACTATATTTTGCCGAAACTAATTTATGGATTTTCTATCAATCTTAAAGTAAAATCAATCTTAAGGTAAAAACTAATAGGCAATCGCTTTAAATTTGTTTTTAGAATCATATTTTATTTACTAATTTCACTGTACTCCGTTTAGATTCCGTAAAACTAATATTTCTATTGTAATCTATAGATTATAATAAATCAATATGCATTCATTAAGTGTCGTTAAAATTTGTGGTGGGCCCATTCTCCATACAAAAAGAAATTTTATTTAAACATCGTAATTTTAGTGACTTTCTGAACGATTTTCAAATTTGCCGCCATTTTCTTGTAGCTCGACTCAATGACCAAACTAAGTACTGACTAGATTGATATAATGACTGGCTATTAATTATTACTTACCACTGTATTTAATGTGTGATTACTTTCATATACCCCTCGGAGGAAACTATCCATCGTTTCGAATGCGAACCAATTAGTTGTATACACGTCATTTTTGCCAGCTCCGAACTTCAAAGACTTTTTATATTTGTTCAAATGGGTTCTATAATAACCCATTAGGCTTTCCTTCTTCTTTCTAATTTCTTCAACAGTTGTTTGAAAAGGCAATAGTTGTATAATTCGATGCCAAGCATCATTTTGCGATGTACGATTTTTTAGTTTTGAGTCTCGGATCCCACAAACATGGCTCTGTTTGCAGAATCTCGAGAAACGTAAGAATTTTTTCATTATTCCACTCCATAGCCATACGTGCGATCCCGTTGCGCTCACCGTGCACAATGAGACAAACGTAGTGTGGCCGCTTCAACGCGTTAATTCGTGCGGTAATCTCTTTGATGTACCACCACTCGAGTTATCGCCTAACGGCAAAAAGCATTATTAATGCCGTTGTAAAATTATCGCGGTAAGTGGTGGCCACACCTACATTCAACGCCCATCACCGCGATAATTAACGGAATTTCTCGTTAGTGTGGCCCGGGCATTATACCATTGAAATAAGGTGTTCGGATGGGGCAAACAGTTATGAAATATTTTTTAATGAAAATGTAATCAAAGGGCAACTTTTATTGCACCAGGGGGAAACTTATGAAAAAGCGTTTTTTATTTTTAATATTTTTCAAAAATATTGCATTGAAAGTGTCTTTAACTTCTACGTGATTCGATAAGTTATCTAGAACAGATTCATCCAAATCCCTCTGTCTTCTTAAAACCGCTATTGTATTTTTTAAGTCTCTTGTTAACTTTTTGCAGATTTTTTACTGTTTTATTTTTAATAAATAAGTGTCTTTTGCACACTTTAAGTTCCTTGTTTTATGTTGCATTATCAGGAGTGTCTAATTGCGTAAAATTGATCCTAGACTCAAGGATGTATTAGGAGATGCGGAAATCTGAAAAAAAAAACATTAGTTTTAGATCATAATTATAAGCATGAGTAACGCGAAAGGAATAGGCAGGTATGCAAGAATTATAGATCTTTATAAATACACCCGGTACCTGAATATTTCGTAGCTTCCATGACTTGACTGCATGTCGACAACAAATTACCTCTTCCACTCTCTCTAGGACTTGGTTCTTCCCACTAAAAAGTCCACAAAGACATTTATAATTAACTAGTTGATTCCGCGGTTGCCTTTATGTAATATTACAAAGGTTTATACTTTTCCCAGTAACAATGTGATTTGAAGTAAACGATGTCCAATATTTAATAATCATAGTCGTACTCATAACATAATAATATACAATCGAGTACCCCCTTAGAGCTTTGTGACAAAAAATTATCCAATACTTATATTAATATATTACGTGCTTCGTGTCGCCGTGGTTTAGCAATGAGTTGTTGCGCTGGGGGCCGCGGCTTCAAATCTCACACGGTACAAGTATTTGTATGGCCTACAAATGATTGTTCCGGATCTGGATGTTTGTCCTCGTGCAATTTATGTTTGTAAACTGCCTCCACGATATAGGAGAAAATCCTAGTGTGGGGGTGTAACGTTTTATCAAGAAAAAAAAACCGTAAAACGTACCTGAGTGTTTGGAGTTTCCGTCAGCGTAGTGCCAACTGTATTTAAACTTGTAGATGCAAATTTTTTCGCCACATTTAGTGCTTCTGCCTCTTCTACCTAAAAAATATTAACATGTTACAGAACTAGGGCAACTATGAATTAGGGATTATGCTGTCAGAGTGATTGGTAGTCACACGTGTTTCACTGATTTTCGGATATATTTCGGTGTTGAGCTTCGTTAATATCTTTGCCGTCTTCTGTGTTTGTTATTATATAAATTTGTGTTGTGTTGTTCATTACTTATTTGTTGGTAAGTAGCGATAGTTAATCAATTTATGTATTCTTAACTAACACGATGGACGTCGACGGGGTGTATTCGGAACCACCGGATAAAGACAATCCATTTGGTTTCGGTCCCTCTAAACGAAAATGTACTGATATAACATCAAGCATTCATAAAAAGAAAGTTGGTCATGATGACACGCCTTCAGCGTCATATCAAAACATGTACACCCACCCTGATTTTCTAGAAAAGAAAAAATACACAGATAGTGACAAAGGGCCTTTTACAATTCACCTTAAGAGTATAGAACCTGATCCTTCATCTGGTTATACAATCCGACCTGTCAAGATCGGCCATATCCTATCCCAAAACAAGGTTTCCAATATTGAAAAACAAAGCATAACGAATTTAGGTCGTAACAGGGTCTCAATAGCTTTTAAAACTGCTACAGACGCCAATAATTTTATCGAATCATCCTTTCTTGCTAAATATAAACTATCAGCAGTCATTCCAACCTTCAATGTTACCAGAATGGGTGTTGTTAGAGGTATACCAACCGATATTTCCATGGAGGAGTTGGTGTGTAAGTCGGAATTTCCCCCTGGTAGAGGAGAAATTATAAAGGCTAGGAGATTACACCGAAAAGTAAAGAAAG